TGAAAATCCACTAAAATAGAATTATAAGTATTCAAACTCTAGTAAAGTTTGATACACTATTTAGAAGATATTGAATATGAACTTATTTACCCCCATAATCCTCTAAAAGGATTTATTATACCTTAAAGGATAAAATTTATTTGTTTTGCACAACTAATAAGTGGTCATCGTGCATGAAGTATATTGCTCTTGTTTATACCCATATAATTCATAGAAGAATTATGAGCCAAATTTCAAAAGATATAGTATTATGGTACTGCATACCATTATTACGCACATATTTATAAAAAGTGTGGTTTGAACAATGATGTTCAAAGAATGGCTTTATGAGGGGGAGTAATTTGATTGAATCTACCTTGAAGGTAATTAAAACCACTAGAATTACAAAGATCAAGTAGATCATATTTGCTAAAACGTTAAAGTTTATGCATTTATCACGAAGATAAATATTATTCATAAAGAATACATGACCAAGAAGGTTAAATTGTACTCTTTTCCCCTATGTGAGTTTTTATTTGAAGGTTTCTCACACAAGGTTTTTAATGAGATAACATGTGCAATGCAATTAACGAATGCGATGTACTCTTTTCTCCAAGAACCATTTTTTCCACTGGGTTTTTGGATGAAGTTTTTAACGAGGCATATGCATATCATGGTAATCGCCTAAGGGAGAGTATTGTAAAACATACGGACTCTATCTTAAAAGGAAAGGAGAAGGAAGAATCATAATCCTAGTCCTTTTATATATAGGCTCTTACCAAACTTTTAGACCTTGGTAGGACTATATATATGTGGGAGCTCTACGTTGTAATTACCAATATTCAGAGAAATAAAGACTAGTCTCGCTATCTCTTATGTCTATGTGTTCTACTTTCATCTACTATGTGATCATAAGAAACGGAGAGGTAAAGGTTCTAACCGCTGGCAACATATTTTATAACACCAAAATTAGCTAAATGGAGAAGTGACCCAATTGAATGGGATGGGTTATAGTGGAAATTGAGATAATAGATAAAACACTTATGATGATTTGGAATTTATGAAAAAAAGGCATTTGGGGAATTTTGATTAATGGCAATTAGAAATTTCTAGAAGAAATTCCATGTGATTTTGAATGTTGCATATTTTATACATTTGAAGTGTATGGTCCATTATATTTTTTTAATGTATGAATACTTGGATCAATTTTTTAGACAAAACAATAAAGAAGCTAGACAATGAAATGGTTTTCTAAACTATGAAATGTGCAAACAGGGGGAGAACATCCCGAGTTTGCAGGAATGGTGAACATTCTTTATTGCACTTTATGTATTCTAACTCACTGCATATAATGTATAATAACCCCGTATTTAACTATGTGCGTGAATATTTTCCATAAAATTCATCATAGCATATATGAATGGGCCTCCGCTTATAGTCGGAGATATATAAATTTAAATTATTTTAAGCCTATGATAGGGGATATCTTTTGAATTATGCTATTAAAGATCTAATATTGGCATTAGGGGAGAGAAAGGCTATTTTGAATGCCAAATATTATTTCCACAGAAGGAAAATGATCTTATAAGAGTAAAATATTCCTTGAAGCTTAAAGCAGGAATAGTATCATGCACCAAATCAAACAATAGTTTGATTAATGCTCTTACGAAGCATGAAGCGGAGCATATGCCAGATATTTTAGAAAAATAAGAGGAGTAACTTGAAGTTACAAACCAGAAGTTGTGTTTACTAGTAGTAAACTAAATGTTGTATACTATCAAGCTAAAATCTACGAGGACGCCTGTGGGTTGTAGTTTAATGTATGCTTGTTAAATTAAATAAGAACAAACTCCTCCATTCTCATGAAGAAGGTTAAGCACCTCATGAAGAGGGTCATCATAAAGATAAAATCCAACACACTAAGCACGCGCACCATTAGTGTTGGGTATGCAGAACAACAAATCATCTCTTGTTTGGAAAATAACAAAGAGACAGAATAATCACATATTATGAGAATATTGGGAGAAAATAATAGTTGTCAACAACGCTACCTCTATAATTGAAAAATATTTCTCTTATGAGAACCCGGATCCAGAAAACAAAGTCCATGGCAAAGTCGCTTATAGCGATTATATCAGGTCAATGAAGAAACAATTGAGGTTGAATCTCCTACTATAAAGAAATAAATGTTCTGCTATATCTCTGGCAAATGTAATGCATGAGTATGAAATATGCAGCTAATAAGTGGATTATGAAGATCCATATAGTTCCTAAAGAATATAAATCACAGCATATGAAAATTAAATCTAAGACAAGTATTAAGAAGTCTAAGGTAGAATATGTTCATGAATGAATATTGAAGTCTAAGAAAAGCATGTCCTAGAAAGGAATTGAGTCATCAAATGACTTTATAGTGAATAACACTATCTCATTGTGTATATCACATAATAATTTCTCATGTAGTAGAGAATATATTTCATGGAAGAGAAATGTTACTCACCGAAAATAAGAACATCCTTGAAAGAGTTAATTCATGAAGGATTTACCTGTGGATTCTTGAATGAACATCATTAATCCTAGAAGTGAACATAAACCCAAGAGAAACAAAATGAGGAATCCTAAACACCATAAAGATGTCATACAAACACTCAGAAAAATATATATTGTAAAGCTAGCAACGAAGTGTTGATATCCTATAAGTACCATAGCAGGTACAAAAATAATGGTGATTTTGGCAATTGTATTATCCCCTAAATGTCAAATATAAGACTGGATTTATTATTTAGTGGTACAATTAAAATCCTGAAGATTTAAAGAACATATAATTTGAAATCCACTAAGGGAGGATTTTAAGTATTCAAACTCTAGTATAAGTTTGATACACTATCTAGAAGATATTGAATATTGTAACTTATTTATCCCCATAATCCTTTAAAAGGATTTATTACTCTGAAGAATAAATTTTATTTATTTTGCACAACTAATAAGTGGTTATTTATGCATGAAGCATATTGCTCTTGTTTACTCATATTATAATTCATTAAAGAATGGTAAGCCAATATTTTGGTATTATGGTACTGCATACTATTATTAACACATATTTATAAAAAAATGTGGATTGAACAATTAAGCTCAAAGGATGGCTTTATGAGGGGGAGCAATTTGAGTAAATCTATCTTGAAGGTAATTAAAACCACTAGAATTATAAAGATCATGTAGATCATATTTGCTAAAACATTGAAGTTTATGTATAGATCATGAAGATAAATATCTGTTTACGAAGAATAGAATATCCTAAAGAATACATGACTAAGAAGGTTAAATGCTGTACTCTTTTTTCCTATGTGAGTTTTTATTTGAATGTTTCTCACGTAGGGTTTTTAATGAGACAACATGTGCAATGCAATTAACGAATGCAATGTACTCTTTTCTCCAAGAACCGTTTTTTCCCACTAGATTTTTGGATGGAGTTTTTAATGAGGCATGTGCATATCGTGGTAATAGCCTAAGGGAGAGTGTTGTAAAACATTCGGACTCTTTCCTAGAAGGAAAGAAGAAGGAGGAATCTTAATCCTAGTCCGTTTGTATGTGGGCTCTTACCAAACTCTTAGATCTTGGCAGAATTATATATATGCGGGAGCTCTATGTTGTAATAATCAATATTCAGAAAAATAAAGAATAGTCTCCCTATCTCTTGTGTGTATATATTCTACTTTTATTTACTATGTTAATCATGAGAGGTAGATAGAGAAAGGCCTTAACCGCTGGCAACATGTTTTATAACATATACATTGAAGCTTTTGCCAGCAATTTCTTCTTTAGACTATATATATGACATTTTAGGAATAAAAATACATTTTTAAGTGAATTTAGTTACATCTGTTGTACCACATTGTCTGTATATGTAGTAACTTTTCTAATGTTAGTTATTTGAAAAAACTTTTCTAATGTTAGTACTAAAAAAAAGTATAGCTATCATGAAACCTAAAATGATACATATTTGGGCTAGATGATGTATAAGAATAGAGACTTTGTTCTAGGTTATATATACTCTTCTCGTTTTAAATTGTAAGTCATTATGGTTTTAGTTTTTATTATGTATCTAGACATAATGTATAGCTAGGTACATGAAAAAAACTATGTATCTAGAAAAGTCAAAACAACTTACAGTTTAGAATGAAGGGATAACATTTTGGCAAGCGTCTATAACTGAATGAAAACATCAAAGATGAAAAATACTCTTGTTAATCATGGCATAGTTGCATGGATCAATTACTTACAATAAAAGTTAGATACTAATTGAACAGAGTTACGTTACACCGTTGTTTTCACTCAAAAAACTAACGCATTTAAAGAAAAGGATATTGTTACAATAACACATCACTCGACATGTGTGCTGGCCGGTCGCTACGCCCATGTGTCTATCACTAACGCGCATGTTGTCTTTCTTCTACTCTAGGGCAACGCACGCTGATCTTTCTACTACATAGGGCTCTTCCGGCCCTAATAATTATAGTGAGGCTATAAAATTGAAAGAGCTTTGCGACAAAATATCGAAACTAGTGTTCAATACCTTTAAGGTTTTCTAAAAAATATATCCATCATAATATATAACTATATAAGAGAAAATAGTGCTATATATGCTTCCGTCCATTGAAAACTGGACTAAATAAAGGTGTCTAAATCTAGATGTAATGTTTGGAAATTCTATTGATGTTTCACCGACATTTTATCCGCACTCTTTTTTTTTTTTGAAAACGTATACACCTCATCTTCTCTCTCTTTCAAAAATAGCCACACTACATTTCATCCACACATGTATAAAACTTCCACACATTCAAACCAAACCAAAAAGTTGTCAAGGGAACTGAATAAAATCATTGCTGGTGTGGCTACATGTGAAACTCGAACAACAACTGTTATCTTTTTGGAAAAGATTTTACTTTCTTTGTTTCTGAAAAGAAAAACAAGAGTTGGATTGGATCGCTGTTGTGCTAAAAAGTCAGGGACTCGTGATAACGATGCGCCTGCTGGAGGCTAGTCAATTTGTAAATTCGTCACGACGACTTCACGAACTCACCCAAGATTCCCTTCTCATCCAGATCACGGACGGCCAGTCGGCCACCAAACCTGCCCCAGAGAGCCCAGATGACGAGGTAGCCCAGCCGCCACTGCACTGCCAGTCCAGTCCTCTCCTAGAGCCTCCAATAACTGCATCAGATCAGAAGGGAAGCGCCCCGTGCTCACTGCTCGCAGTGCTGTTCTCGGATCTCGCGGCGGAAGTCGTCGGTCCAGTACTCCAGTCACAGTCAGCGAGCGAACGAGCCCTCTCGGTGGATTCCCCGATCCGAGCAAAGCAACCCGACATGCGGCCGCGGCTGGTGCTCTTCGGCGACTCCATCACCGAGCAGTCCTTCGCGTCCGGCGGATGGGGCGCCGCGCTCACCGACCGCTTCGCCCGCCAGGTACGTGCCGTGCGCGCTCCTCCATTGGCCCTGGCGGCGTGGCGATTGAGCGTGGGCGTGGCCTTGATGTGGCGAATTCTGATCTGTCTGTGTCTGGGCTTTTTGGTCAGGCGGACGTCGTGCTGCGCGGGTTGAGCGGCTACAACACGCGGTGGGCGCTCAAGGTGCTGCCACGGGCCATGGAGGGCGCGGCGGACGCGGGCGCGGACCCGGCGGCGGTGACCGTCTTCTTCGGCGCCAACGACGCCTCGCTGCCCGACCAGGTGCAGGCGCACCAGCACGTGCCGCTCCAGGAGTACCAGAGCAACCTCCGCGCCATCTGCGCCTACTTCAAGGTTATGGTTATGGACTTATGGTTTATATATAAGTTGCGGCCTACGCTTGATGCGATTCTCGGATTCGGATATGTTGGATTCGTCGCTCATTTATTCGTCGTTTGGTTCTTCGATCGCAGGAGCGATGGCCCTCCACTGCTATCATACTCATCACTCCCCCACCGATTTATGAACCAGCGAGAATCCGGTAAACAAATAGATCCACTCTGAAGATACTACAAAAGTACAAATCAAATCATTCCACCGATATCACACTTTATTCGCTCTACTGATCTTAGCTTTCTGAGGGGAATCTGGTGGCCGGTCATAGCAAAATCAAGTCATTGGGTGCCTTTCACATGCTGGCCCCCATTTTGTTTACCTTTTGCTGCGACGCATATATGCCATCCCTCCCTGCTTTGCGGTCATGGCATGCTAGTATGATACTATAAATTCCACTATCTGCAGTTTGCCAGTTCGAAAGTGAATTGCATCCATGCACACTGCTGCTTTCAGTAAGTCAGAAAAGTTGTCAGCATTTAGATCCATACTGCTACTGCTACTTATCACTCTGCCACCGTTCTACGAACCTGCAATAGTCGGTAAAGAGAAAACACCACTTTTGTATATCTACTGTGCATAACTTTATGACGAGAATCTGTCAGCAACTGCAGATAAGTTTATGAGTCCTGTGGATGCCTTTATGGTGATCACCATATTGCCATTTTAGTTGCTATGCACATATGACATTCATGTTGCTTCTTCTCGTAAGTCATAACAGTATATGTCACTATGTCATAGCCCTCTTTCTGTATATGCTAATATGTGTACACATATCTCGAGGGGAGGGAAAAAAGGAAAATACTTCATTACGCATGGGGCAAGCCTATAGTAGCAGTTTTAAGTTTAACCAAAGTGGCCGAGTTCATTGTATCTATTGAGGGAGTCAACATGCTTATTTTGGACCTACATGTATTTTTCCCTAGAATCCATGGGATAGGATTCCTTGAATGCTGCCTATTTTCCGTTCAAATTATGTGCATTCTAGAATGCTGGATTGTTTATATCTGTATTTCTTGACATGTCCAGTAATCCAATTACCTGGACTGATCTAGTGACTTCTTCAAGCATCGAGTGCAAATTGCACTTTTCACTAAAGTACTTATCCCTGTGTTTATGCACATGCCCAGTGATACGATTTCCTTGTCTGACCTAATGGCTTCTTCAAGCATGCAGTGCAAATTGCACTTTTCACTAAAGTAGTTTTGAAGCCAGCCACACTGATTGTCCTTGGCTCCTTATGCAGGGACATGTATGGAGAAGACGACCCTTCACGCCAACCAGAAAGAAGCAATGAGGCTGCTGGCGCTTATGCTCAGGCATGCATAGCTGTTGCCACAGAATTGAATCATCCAGTTATAGACATCTGGACGAAGATGCAGGAATTTCCAGATTGGCAAACATCTGCACTGAGGTAAGCATATATTTCAATTACCTCTGTGACCAATGCAAGATCCAGATGCGCTGAGCAGCAATTATTTTTATTCCCTTTTGTGTTATCAGCTGCATACCTCGGTGGTTCTGGAATAGTCAATCAGATAATGTGTTATTCCCTTTAGTTGCACGCAAAAGCTTGTCAACTAGGGTAGGCTGTTACATAGAAACTATGCGACCCCCATATCTGAAATACGAAATTTCATGTTGAGTGAAGATGTCGTATTTTCATGTGTACACCCGAGACAATAAGAAAAATGATAGATAGAGGTCATCGAACTTGATTCTCTGTTGTGCAGATTATAGGTGCTATACTTGAAGCACCACGACTCCATGAGTCCACGACGTCAAAGGCTCAAACTGGTAGTAGGGCCAAGTAACATTACATACCTGAATATTATAAGATAATGAATTCCATGACCTTTTTTTTTTTTGAGATGTGTGACCTTGTTTTTCTAGAGCTTCTGCGGTGTCAAGTAAAATTCTGCATCCTCAGATGGATAGAACACACATAGTTACTATTTTTGCGTGTCTAGTTTTTAAGCTGTTTACATTTCTTTCCCACGTCATAGCACTGTGCACTGAATATTTCCAGACGTGATAGGGAAGGTGGAGGAACTTATGCACATTTTTTATTTTTCTGTTGGCTGTTGCTACGACTTGCTAAGATCAGTAGGCTTTGTTCTTGTAATGCTGTTTGGAAATTTGTAGAAGGAAACTTTCAGGATGTAGTTCAGTTGATTTTCCTTTTTAGTGATGGTATGTACCCGGTAGCACCGGTGTTTTTGTATTTGTAAATAATAATGCTGCGTTTCTAATTTCTTACCTGGAAAATAATTGTGATTCTAAATCGGTAATGAATGCATTACATTCCTGATGATTAGTGTATTCTTCCAAGCGAAAGCCTGGGATAACATTTTGATGCCACGATGCAGCGACGGGCTCCACTTCACGCCGGCAGGAAACAAGATCCTGTTCGACGAGGCGGCGAAGACGCTGGCGAGCATCGGTTTCAGCCAGGAGAGGCTCCCATCCGACCTCCCCCTGTTCCACGAGATCGACCCCAAGGACCCCATGAAAGCCTTCGGCGCTTGAACAAGACGCCTCAGCACACGGCTGGATCAGTGATGTTTGCTCGATCGTGTCAAGTGACGTGTTACGCTCCGTGTGTGGTGCTGCGTGTGCAACTTTTCCTTGTGGAGATAGATGTTTTTTTCCTTTTTTATGAGTGCATTAGTATGCATAAAGGACTGCTGAGGTCATTACAGGAACAGTGAGGTTTAATAACTGGCACTTTCAGTCCCGTATTATGGGAACATTGTGGTTTAACAAATGCCATTACAGGAACAGTGAAGTTCTTCTTTTTTTTCTGTCTTGGATGGAGTCAGGCCTGACCTGATGTGCGAAAAGTAAGGGCTCAAAGCTTTGGGGCCACTGAGCGGAGGCCCATGTGATGTGAGCAGAAAGAGCTGGTCCATCTAGCCAGGCGCAGTCCGGCTTCGTCACTGTTTGGGCCCTTTAATTCCTATATAGATATGGGCCGATTGGCGTTTAGCCTGGGCCTGGGCGCACTTGATTTCACCGGAGGGCGAGAGAGTAGGGTAGGAGTATTATAGATATACAGTACAGTAGAGATGAGAAAACAACCCGGTGACGGTGAGCAGCATCATCTCCTCTCGGGATGGGTGGGAGTCCGCTACGACGACATCCTCCACGTCTCTGCCTCAAGATGCAGAATTTAGCACACCAAGACCCTCTCTCAGAAAACCACGCCACGACTGTGCGTGCCTGCGCGCTGCTGCTACGGTACAAAAACGTGTCACGCTTCCCGAATCAGTAGCTGCTGCGGGGCCCACAGCGCAGGCCCAGCCCCCCAGCCCGCGTAGGTTACTGATCCCTAGCTAGCCCAGCTACGGCGGCCTAGGTTGGTTAATCAAGTGCCAGGAGGGCGTACTAACCAAATTGGATTACATAAACAAAGCCGCCTATATGTACGGCAAAGATCCGCGACTGCGACTGCGAGGCGGGGCGGCGACCATTGCCCTGTTCAATTAAGCCAGGGCTGACTGTTGAATTAAAAAATACCGATCATTGGCTGAAAAAGTACGACCTATAAGCCAAATAAATAGAAACAGAGCATATAGCGGAGGCTGACCTTGACACGTGGCCACCACGAGACCGAGGATTGATCGGCCATCCAGCTCGCGCTCGCGGCGTGCGCATGCAACGACGACCCCACCTGCACGCCTTGCCCAGCTGCCCTTCCTTTGCCTTTCCCTTGTTTCTGTTTAGTGTAAAGTGTCTTTGACGTAAAGCAACGTACTCAAGAGACCAATGAGAGTACAAACTCTTGTTATTCATTGATCCATGGTTGTACGTATATATACATGTAAAAAGACATTTGTGAAGAGGTGCCTTCTAAGAGAGCGGTTGATCACTAATAAAGTGAATGGTAACACTCCCCCTTGATCAACAGCGTCGTCCATCACTTAGATCAATGTATTGGATAATTTCTCCAAAACCCTATGGAAAAAATGCGAAGAAATATATGTAGATATGCCATTAAAACTCCTTAAAATGCGAAGAAGTATCGACTCATTGTAAACTTATATGGGAAACCTCGGAAGGAAGAAAAACATACCAAGTTTAGAAAACAATAAATATGATATGAGGATCATAATTGTAATTATATGTCTTTGATACCTTCTCAAAAACCCCCGTGGGGGAAAACAGAAGATATGACATAGGTTGTCTTAATTTGATACCCCTTACAAAAACTCCGGTGGGGAAAATAAGAGATATGACATGAACTTGTATTGATATTGCCTCATTAAAAACCTTCTATGAGAAACCTGTGTGAGAAAAAACTCATAGAGAAAAAGAGTACAATATGATGTTTTGAACATGTTATAGTTTTAAGAGGAGTCTCCCCCTGAACCTTGCAACTCTCAAAGTCATCGCATACCGATCTCAATAACACATGTGAAATGTCAAAATTGGTAGGGACTTTGTGAATAAATCTCATGGAGTTATCACTTGATTTAGTTTACAAGGTGTTTATCTCCTCACTTTCATGAGAATAACACATTTATATAAGGCAATACAGTGATATTGCTCATATATAACATGTTTACATCCAAGCAACACAAGTTGCATGATCTTTGAAGATAATGGCTAGTGATTCGATGGAATCAAAAGTGACCATTCAATGAAGTCATACATGTTAATGTAATACTTCAGAATGAGGAGTGGAAGTAACCACTAGAGTCAAGTTTGATGACTCCCATGATAACTTTACCACTATAACATCATTATGTGATATGGCTTTATGGGGATTAAATAGCCAATATCTCTATGACCAACTATAATCATAACTTAATTCATATAACAATAAATCAAGATCCTTTGTGCCATATAGATATCTATGGATATCCTCTTTGACTCCCACCTTTCGGTGTTATAGAAGTTGCGCTATTTCAAGCTACAGCAAGTATCTACAGATGCAATATCAGGCCTGTTGCGATATGCAAGATACATAAGCGCTTTATGGCACTAAGGTTGTCATCCCAGGGTTTGAATGAATATTGATCTATATTTAGGGATTGAATGACCAATAGTGTAGGAAGTACAATTGTCCAATATTATTTGGATATTGGTAGATAATATCAATTCAATATTAGATGATTGATGTACATGCTTAAGCTATAGACTTAAGCGTAATTTGGTTTTACCCAAATATTACATCTCAAATTTCGTCTTATATGATGAGTACCTGTTTTTATATGTGTCATATGAGATGTATAAAATTCAATTGGGATTTTATTATGATCACACAGGTGAAATCATCTAGATGGGAGCCATCCTTCTGTGGAAGGAACTCACCTAGTCAGTTGTACCACAATCAAATTGACTATCTCAAGTCATAGAGTGACTTGATTTGTACACAAATATATGTTGCGATTTGTGTTTTGATTCAAAAAACAAAGTCCATTGGGACTTCTAATTTGAATCTATTCAAATCAAATTTGATATGCCAATTATCGATATAGGAACATAATTTCCACACATACCAATGTATATGTTATGCTAGGTCTCTGCGTGAAACCATGTGCTACAAGCTCTCACTATTTCACCACCTTATGGATTTGAGAAATCCATAATGCTTCCATAGGGAACTCATTGTGAGGAGTCATTAGAAAGGTAAAGACTTCTCACTATTGAGTGAAAGCAATTCTCCTTAATTGCCACCTTTAGTTGACCCAATATGAGTGTTTGAACACTCTGCCTAGGACTTGTGGTCTAGATCCAAATAAGGTGCATGGCAATTTTGAGGAGTATGTTGACAATTTGTAGTCATTTGTATGATTGATTCAATGGAACCAATTAAACATGTGGAAATGTATACCCTTTAAACTCCATATCATTTCCCATAATAACAGAGTTAGGGCGTTCCAAAGACCTAGCCCCTGAATTTGTGCACAAGTTGTGCTGGGCTTTTGGGTGTTAAACATCCATAGGCTTTGGATAGTAAATATCCATAGTGTCTATCAACTTGATGTTGATATGCATGTATTATCTTGGAGAATTTTCTTCCCCTAATCCGAGAATACATGCAAGAAGTTGTATCCCCATGTGGCCATACTTCTCCCCCTCTTATTGAGATTTAGGAGTTGAATGGTTTTGTTAGGTACCTCCACTCTTTCTGGCACATTCCACGGGAAATTAGATTTGGTGACAACTTTATGACAAGTAAATGCATTTGGCAGACTATTTGCATTGTGTTACAAATATAAGATATTCTGAACTATTTGTTCAGATTCTTTGGTACGTGGATATGAGGATCAAATATCAATAATGACATTCTCTTTCCGATTCCTAGCATTCTATGTGTGGTAAGTATCTCCCCCTAATGCCTGGAATCTCCTCAAAGATGTATTCAGCATACGGGCAATGAATGAATCCCCTAGTAGAGATCTGAGGTATTATTGAATGACGGATAATAATACCTAGTGTAGACCTCCAATGCCCATTGATGTATGCTACGGTGGTGATATCGGTACATGTAAAACGTTGCTGATTCGTAGATGGAAAATGTTTTGGCTATAGGGCCAAATTTCCACGTACTAACTGTAACAGAGGGAGCCGTATAACTGTAGTTTGATAAATTTGGATTTATGATGTGGTGTGTAAATTCTCATGCCACCAACTAGATGTTGGTAAATTAAAATTCTATTTTGGGTCATCAAACAACAAGCTTGATTCTCTCAATAAGAGATTCAATTGGACCATTATATGTATGAACATAAGATACTTAATGATATAGTCCCTAAAAACCAAACATTTCCATATAAATGGATTAGATCCCGCGTCCAGGATCATTTGCTCTAAATTGAAGAATTTGAGCAATGAGTTTGGTAAATTTGTGGTACCTTATGAGTAAGGCACACACTTAGGACAATATTGTAGATGCATAAATGTGCATTACATAGTATCTTTATGGTCCATTAATTGGCATACAGAGTCACATATATGTTCTTGAATTTCTTTGAGAAATTTAGTGGCTCATATTGTGTTGTGACCAATAGAATTGATAATAATTTTTCATCATTCTAAAGGTAGAATGATCAAGGCAAATATGCCAAATCTTGATGGGATCAAGAGAGAATTATTTTGTACGCAACATATATTATGGGATTGATGTATGTATAATACACCCCAGATGATATGGAAGGAATTTGCACAATTATATAGTTTTCATATATGTTGCACTAAGTTGAGTGAAGATTTTCGTCATCGCTCCTTAGTATTGAGTCTCCGTTTGGAAACCATGCAACTAATACATGAAAAACATCATAGGGTATTTGTAGAATCATGATACATAGATATATCCACGATTAATTGAATACCTAAGAAGAGAGTGTAATCTCTCATAATTGTGTTAGCGGTATAGTGGTCCACTAAACAAGATTCCTTTGTATCTAGTAGAATTCCAATTGATTCTATATAGAGCGAGGCAGAATCCAAAAGACTTTGCACTCATATAGAATATGTATACCATGTATGAGGTACATGATATTTTTGATAATGGACAACAT